ACAATCACAGTGAGTGTCCAGTTAGTCGCCTTACATTTTATCTACCTGCCAGTGATGGGTGAGAGTGCCCATTCTCCATGCCTGCCTTTCGGATTACCAACCTTTAAAGTGTTGGAAACCAAAATCCTCTCCCTCTAATTTACATTTACTTTATGTTTACTTGTGAGGGAAATAATCGGATAATTTCCTTTGTCTCTCTGCCAGATTTTCTGTTAGGTTGGGAGTTTGTTTTTCCCCCTTGAGTAATTTTTGTCAATTCTGGATATTAACTTTTCATAAATATTTTAAACGTTTATTCCCAGCTTGTCATGTATCTGTTAACTTTTATTTTATGCTGTCATTTAGAACTTTCACTACTTAAGTGGTTAAATCTTCAGGGGTTTTTATGGTTCACAATTCTAAGTGCCTTAAACTAACTCTTTCTAACCCAAATGTCATAAAACTGTTTTCTTCAGAGTGCTTTCTTTTACTTTAACTTTTAATGCTTTCATTCCTTTGGATCTTATTTTGGAGTGACTTAATAAGGAGCATCCCCTTCCTATTGATTTGAAATTTTTGCAGTCACAAAGTAAAGTTCTGTATATGTTTAGGTATATTTCTGGGTTTTTCTCTTCTGTACACCAGGATTTTTATTTCTTCCTGCCCCAGTACCACAATTAAGTTCTTCTGCATTGTTTATTCAACATGATAAGAGCTTTAGAATCTGTGGATTTCTTTTTTTTTTTTTTTAATCTTGCTAGGCTTTTTGTTGGGATTGCATTTGATTTCTAGATTACTTGGAGTTTGGACTTCTTTACAATATTTAACTACCCATTTTGACCCTTGAGTATGTTTCTTTTGATTAATCATTCTTTTTGTCCTTTCATAAAAAATGTATAGTTTTCTTCTTCTATATCCTATATCTTTTTGTTAGGTTTCTTTATTACTTTTTATAGTTTCTAGGGACATTGTGAACAGAATTAAGTTTCCTATTGGTTTTTACTACTAAATAAAGCTTAATTTTTATATATTTTATTTTTGACTGTCTTGTAGTTCTAATAGTTTTTCAGTTGATTGCTTAATGATAGGAGTGTGTGTGATTAAACAACATGCACATTGCCCCTCCCCCTTTCCATATTTAGTCTTTATTTTCTTTCATTGTCTCGGTGAATTGTTTGGGACTTTTAGGACATTACTTTAGAGTAGCCATAAAAGGAGGAATTTTTATCTTAGCTTTAGGGTAAAATACTTTTGAATATTTTAACATTAAATTTGATACCTGCTGCAGATATCTGATAAACTCATTTTGTCACAATAAGGAGTTTTTCTTTTATTCTTCATTTTTGAGAATTTTTATTAAAGCTTAAAGTGTTCTAGTATATCAAAATACTTTCTAAAATCAATTGAGATTGTCTCTTTTCTTGTACTCTATTAACCTAATGAATTATTTAAAATTTTTTCTTTTTCAGTCCTGGTTCTCTTGGGGTAAACATTACTTGGTTACGATACATTCTTGTTTTACTTCCCCAGCTACAAACTTATTTTATTTAACATGTTTATATTCATGAACCATATAGGCCTACTCATTTTTTCTTATTGCTTTTGTTTCTCTGTGCTGTGTGATACGCCTACTCCTCACTTATTGACCACCTCTGTCGGACATTTGCATTTGCAACAACAGGAAAAATCTATTTGACACCATGTGTCTGGCAGTGACAAATACTGAGGTGCAGTGCTGGTTGTGATGATTAAGGGTATGTGTCAGCTGGACTGGACTATGATTCTCAGTGATTTGGCAGCTATGTAATAATACATTTTGGCATTTATAAATGTTGTTAATTATTGGGCTATGAACCACAAGGTCTGCAAGTCGAAAACACCAGCTGCCCCAAAGGAGAAAGATGAGGCTTTCTACTCCTGTAAACAGTTCCAGCCTTGAAAACTCGAAGGGACAGTTCTGCCCTGTCCTTTAGGGTCACCGTGAGTCAGAACTCGATGGCACTGCTGTTGAGTGTATTTCTACCGTGTAAGACAGAGTAGAGCTGCTCCTGAGGATTTCTGGATCCTTGGGAAACTCTACAGGAGCAGCAGCCTCATCTTTGTCCCATGGAGCAGCTGGTGATTTTTAACTGCCAGCCTTATGATCAGCACCCCAGTGCTTAAGCCACTGTGCCACCAGGGCAGCTATGCAGCAATGTAATTTGGTAGTTATATAATGATGTAGTCATCTTCGTTTTGTGATATGATGTGGTCATCCTCCATTTTTACTTAGTGCTGATTTTTACATGACAACCTAGTCTTTGGAACTGAACTATATTGGTAAGTGTGGAATGGATGTGGTTGTATACCCCAGAATGTGACTATACCTTGAAGAGGTGATAATAATCACTTGTAAAATTATCTGAGCGACAACCGAAAAGTGGATGAAGGGAGACGTCGGACAGGGCAAGATATGACAAAATACCCATTTATAAACTATCAAGGGCTCATG